GAAACGAGTGGGATTGACCTCGATATCTTTGTCCATAGTGTTATGATGAATGGTTTGTGCAAGGGCGACAAGGTTGATGAGGCACTTGGATTGTTTAATAAACTTTCTGATAAAGGGATTGAACCGAACGTAAACACGTACAATACAATGATTACTGGATTTTGTAGAAAAAGTTTGCTCAGTGAAGCCGACAAGCTGTTTAAGAATATGAAAAAGATTGGTTGTATGCCAAATGATTGTACGTATAATGTACTGATCCGAGGTCATCTCAAAGGTGGCCATGTAGCAACTGTTATCGAGCTTATTCGGGAAATGAGAAGCTGCGGTTTTTCATCAGATGTTTCAACCGTGGAAATGGTTGTTGGTATGTTATCGGACGGGAGATTGGAGAAAAGTTTTTTGGTTCTTCTTTCTCGGTGAGCTGTAATGCGGAGGTTGCTTTCGGTCATGGAAGTCTTGTGACAACGAGGTGAGTTCTTCTGTTCTGAATTTAGGCTTGTTTAGCTGTTCTGAATTTTCATCAGAACCACATTGATAGAACTCTTACTTTGTGGGTCTATGGATATTTTTATATCGGCTCGGCTGTACGTATAACGTGCCATCCTTTGCAATGCATGGAACATTGAAAACAGTTATGGTAAATTGGTCATAAGCTGAGTCCTTGGACTCTTGTGGATGATGTTTTTGTCTAAAATTGGACAGAGCTAATACATAGTTTATCTCTTTTTGGTGGGCTTCTGCACAAAGAGTAGAGTTATCCTATCATCAAAATAACTTTGCCTAATCTGCTTTAACGCACTGCTCACCAATTTTACAATTTCCTACTATTCCCTTTTCAGACGCATGTAAATGTAATAACCGAAAAAAAAAAGCGAGGAAGAATCTGCTTCTCTCCATTTTCGCTGTGACCGCCGCTTCCATCGAGGGCTTGTAGAAGAAGCCGAATCGCAATCCGCCTGATTTCTCATTCCGTCTTCGGACCGAAGCTGAGATGGCGAGAGTGTTCAGGAGAATGGCTGCTTTCACATTTGCTTCTGCTTCGAGTTTGGTTCAGACTCATCATCGCCTGGGGAGAGGTACTCTTAACGCTTTCTCAGATCGTTCCTCTGTTCTAAGTTGTCGGAGGTTGGCTTCTTCTGGTGTTGAAGAGTACAGAGACAGACTCAGATTGGGGTTTCATGATTGCAATGTAGATGAGGCTGTCGCTTTGTTCGACCACATGGTTCGGTCTCGTCCCTTGCCTTCCATTGTCGATTTTAATAAATTACTGGCTGCAATCGCCAAAATGAAACAGTATGATGTTGTGATTTCTCTCTGCAAGAGAATGGAATTGCTCCGGGTTTCACATGACGACTGCACTTTGAGTATTCTCATCAACGCATTCTGCCGCTCAGGTCAAGTGGTTTTGGGCCTTTCGGTTTTGGGGAAAATCATAAAAAAGGGTTACGAGCCTCATGTTATCACGCTCACTACCCTGATCAATGGATTTTGTATCCAAAAGAAGCTTTCTGTGGCGTTAAGTTGGGTTGACCAAATGGTAAAAGAGGGATATAAACCTAATGTCGTGACATACACCACTTTGGTCAACGGACTTTGTCAAGAGGGGAGAGTTTCTGAAGCTGTGAGTTTAGTTGATAAGATGTTAAAGATGGGGTATCAACCCGATGTAGTTACTTATGGCACTGTTGTCAATGGGATTTGCAAGTCGGGTGATTGTGCTTTGGCATTGAATCTGCTCATGAAGATGGAGGAGAGGAACATTGAGGTAAATGTCAGAATTTACAGTATGATAATTGATGGTCTATGCAAAGGTGGACATATAGATGATGCATTGAGCCTTTTCGATAAGATGGATAGCAAAGGGATTGCTCCAAATGTTGTCACCTACAGTTGTTTGATAAACGGCCTTTGCGTTTTCGATAGATGGAACGATGCTGTCCGATTGTTGAATGATATGGCCAAAAGAAAAATCACCCCAGATGTTGTCACTTTCAATGGATTGATCGATGCGTTCGTTAAAGAGGGAAAGTTTTTGGAGGCTAAAGAACTGTGCGAAGAGATGATTCGAAGAGGTTTAGTTCCAGATACTATTACTTACACTTCATTGATCGATGGGTTGTGCATGCAGAATCGTCTTGACGAGGTGAAACAGTTGTTCGATTTTATAGTCAACAGAGGATGCTATCCGAATACAGTGACTTTTAGTTGTCTTATAAATGGTTACTGCAAGTCTAATAAGGTGGATGAGGGTATGAAACTCTTTCATGAGATGTCTCGAAGAGGGTTGGTCAGTAATACATGTATTTACAACACTCTCATACAAGGTTTTTTTCGAGTGGGCAAAGTCAATGTCGCCCATAAACTCTTTTTAGAGATGCAGAGACAAGGTGTAGATCCTGATCTTGTAACTTGCACAGTAGTGCTTGATGGTCTTTGTAAGAATGGAAAACTGGACGAGGCGCTTGGATTGTATTGCCAGTTGGAAACGAGTGGGATTGACCTCGATATCTTTGTCCATAGTGTTATGATGCATGGCTTGTGCAAGGGTGACAAGGTTGATGAGGCACTCAGATTGTTTAATAAACTTTCTGATAAAGGGATTGAACCGAACGTAAACACGTACAATACAATGATTACTGGATTTTGTAGAAAAAGTTTGCTCAGTGAAGCCGACAAGCTGTTTAAGAATATGAAAAAGATTGGTTGTATGCCAAATGATTGTACGTATAATGTACTGATCCGAGGTCATCTCAAAGGTGGCCATGTAGCAACTGTTATCGAGCTTATTCGGGAAATGAGAAGCTGCGGTTTTTCATCAGATGTTTCAACCGTGGAAATGGTTGTTGATATGTTATCGGACGGGAGATTGGAGAAAAGTTTTTTGGTTCTTCTTTCTCGGTGAGCTGTAATGCGGAGGTTGCTTTCGGTCATGGAAGTCTTGTGACAACGAGGTGAGTTCTTCTGTTCTGAATTTAGGCTTGTTTAGCTGTTCTCAATTTTCATCAGAACCACATTGATAGAACTCTTAGTTTGTGGGTCTATGGATATTTTTATATCGGCTCGGCTGTACGTATAACGTGCCGTCCTTTGCAATGCATGGAACATTGAAAACAGTTATGGTAAATTGGTCATAAGCTGAGTCCTTGGACTCTTGTGGATGATGTTTTTGTCTAAAATTGGACAGAGCTAATACATAGTTTATCTCTTTTTGGTGGGCTTCTGCACAAAGAGTAGAGTTATCCGATTGTTTTTAGTGGTTTCTAACTTTCTCTTCTGCAATTGATTATGCTCACAATGGTATCTGATAGTATTTCCCCTTTCTGGTGGTGCAGTTCGAAAATCTCTTAGGCAGTTGATCCAACTGAAGAAATTCCTCTTTAGGCAGTGAATGAACTCTCCCCAATTCCTCTGAGGGTTGCAAGCTCTAATTTGTCTTAATAATTTAACTAACTGAGTTGAGTATTTTCCACGTTTGTATAATTTTTTTAATAATTTAAAAATTCATCGAACTTTCAACTTAGCGATATAATCAGGTAAGTGTCATTTTCCAAATAAAAACTCGAATTTGGATTAGAAAGAGCTTTACTCTATCCTTTATCAATTGCCATGTTTGTGTATTTTTTTAGATATTTTGACGAGTTGGTATTTTATCATAGACGCTTAATAACAAAACAAAGGCCCAAGTGAAATTATATTAACGATTTTTTTTACATAGAAGATGAAGATAGGTTATTAAAACGACACGATTGTATAGTAGAAACATAGAATTAGACCATTTTCGCGAATCATTATGCCGTCGCATTAGAGAATTTGTAAATTCCACCGTTACAAAAAAAAAAGTATATGTAAATTCCATAATATAAATTTTTCTATATATATTATGTGACAGACACAGTATATATATTTATCAACGCCTATGGACATGCGTCCCCTTTTTGTTCGGGTAATAGATTGGGCAAAAACGTCTCTCATTTGTTCTTTGAAAGATGACAGGTTCATTACAAGAGCAGCTCAAGATCCGTACAAAGCTGCTGTAGGTCAATTTTGAACATTCAAAAGATTCACGTTCTAAGCATAGGGGTGGTCTGGTCGGATGGTGATGACGACGAGGCCTGTCTGATTATCCGCAGTCATCTCGTGAAAGTTTGGGTCATTTGTTGCTCACGGTTTCAGAACTTTGTGAGAGGATTACAACCGACTTCACCATGAAAAGTGTGTAAGCGCACCTGAGTTCGTTTAGCAACCGAGCTTAATGCGACGTCGTCTTCAGATAAGCTTTGAAGCTTCTACTCGAGACTGGAGCTTCACATGCATCCGCAATACTTTCATCAGTTATATATTTACCAATTTCGACATCTCTATCATGATGTATAGTTCACCCATTTAAACACCGGTTATATATTGTTTGAAAAGTGTGTAAGCGCACCTGAGTTCGTTTAGCAACCGAGCTTAATGCGACGTCGTCTTCAGATAAGCTTTGAAGCTTCTACTCGAGACTGGAGCTTCACATGCATCCGCAATACTTTCATCAGTTATATATTTACCAATTTCGACATCTCTATCATGATGTATAGTTCACCCATTTAAACACCGGTTATATATTGTTTGACTTTAGAATCTTCGTTTCAATTGCCAAAATTATATATACTTCACTTTTTATATTGATTTGAGTTTTATAAGGAGTCGATTCTCATTAACAAACAAATATTGTTTTTTTAAAAGATTTTTTTATACTTGATTTTTGGGTATTTTTATTAAGTTAGATTTGATTAATTTTAGTTTTATAAAAATTATACATCAAAATAACTTTGCCTAATCTGTTTTAATTATATACCCATTGATATTTGGGTATAACACACTGCTCACGAATTTTACAAATTTCCTACGATTTCCCTTTCCAGATGACCGAAAAAAAAAACGAGGAAGAATCTGCTTATCTCCATTTTCGCTGTGACCGCTGCTTCCGTCGAGGGTTTATAGAAGAAGCCGAATCGCAATCTGCTGCCTGATTTCTCATCCCGTCTTCGGATCGAAGCTGAGATGGCGAGAATGGTCCGGAGAATGGGTGCTTTCACATCGGCTTCTGCTTCGAGCTTGGTTCAGACTCATCATCGCAAGGGGAGAGGTACTCTGAACACTTTCTCAGATTGTTCCTCTGTTTTAAGTTGTCGGAGATTTGTCTCTTCTGGTGTTGGAGACTACAGAGACAGATTGAGATTTGGGTTTCATGATTGTAATGTCGGTGAGGCTGTTGCTTTGTTCGATCAGATGGTTCGGTCTCACCCCTTACCCTCCATCGTTGATTTTAATAAATTACTAACTTCAATCGCCAAAATGAAACGGTATGATGTTGTGATTTCTCTCTGCAAGAGAATGGAATTGCTCCGGGTTTCACATGACGGCTGCACTTTGAGTATTCTCATCAACGCATTATGCCGCTCAGGTCAAGTGGTTTTGGGCCTTTCGGTTTTGGGAAAAATCCTAAAACTGGGTTACGAGCCTCATGTTATCACGTTTACTACCCTGATCAATGGATTTTGTATCCAAGGGAGGTTTTCTGTGGCGTTAAGTTGGGTTGACCAAATTACAAAAGAGGGATATAAACCTGATGTCGTAACATACACCACTTTGGTCAACGGACTTTGTCGAGAGGGGAGAGTTTCTGTAGCTGTGAGTTTAGTTGATCGGATGTTAAAGTTGGGGTGTCGACCCAATGTAGTTACTTATGGCGCTGTTGTCAATGGGATTTGCAAGTCGGGTGATTGTGCTTTGGCATTGAATCTGCTCATGAAGATGGAGGAGAAGAACATTGAGGTGGATGTCAAAATTTACAGTATGATAATTGATGGTCTTTGCAAAGGTGGACACATAGATGATGCATTGAGCCTTTTCGAAAAGATGGATAGCAAAGGGATTGCTCCAAATGTTGTCACCTACAGTTGTTTGATAAACGGCCTTTGTGTTTTTGACAGATGGAACGATGTTGTCCGATTGTTGAATGATATGGCCAAAAGAAAAATCACCCCAGATGTTGTCACTTTCAATGGATTGATCGATGCGTTCGTTAAAGAAGGAAAGTTTTTGGAGGCTAAAGAATTGTGCGAAGAGATGACTCGAAGAGGTTTAGTTCCGACTACTCTTACATATAATTCATTGATCGATGGGTTGTGCATGCAGAATCGCCTTGACGAGGCGAAACA